CATCCCCCCACTCCCTGGTTGCGCCCTCCCTTCTCTGTCTTCCCCTGGCCCCTGTCTGAGCTTCTCTCTCCTCCCCTCGCGGCCTGGGCCCCCCGACCGGCCCTGCTTCCCCGTCCGCCCTTTCCCGCTGATGCCCCATCCCTGCGGCGGGGTCTCCTTTGTTCCTTCTCGGCTGACCCCTTAGGGCTTCCTCTGGGCCAGCCCGTGGCGGTTCCCGTCCTCTTCTTGCGTAGGGAGCCCGTCGCCTGCCCGCCCGGTTCCCCAGCTGCTGTGGGTCGGTGCTGGGAGAACAGGAGTTGACACTCATTCGGCCCCCCTCCCTCTTGGCCCCCCTCATGGGGGTTGACCCAGCTGGTACGCAGACGTCCTTTCTCAGCTTTACCTTTGAGGCCGTTTTCCTGTGCCCGTTCCAGGCCTGCTGCCTCCAGCTCTTCAGCTCCTGGGCCCCCTCCTGCTCTCTTCCCCCGGTCCAGGCACCCTCTCACACCCTTCTGCTTTACCCCCCTGAGCCCAGAGGCCTGACTGAAGGCAGCGGGTTAGCGTGTGTCTGGCCCTTGCTCCACTCTAACCATATTGCTTTGATTCGAAAAGCCCCATCCATTGTGGGAAACCCCATTCATTTACTAACAGCCCGAGGGGTAGAGCGATGAGAAGACCGCCTATGTGTAGGGAGTGAAAGGTGTGCTCTGCTGTAGAAATGTTAACATTTTTGAAAACTTAAGACTTAGAGCCGAGGGAATACGGTGAGAATAATAGTAATTCATATTTCCTGAGTGCTGAGTCCATGTCAGACATCTTCCTAAGGGCTTGCCTGACATTATCTCCGAGTTTCCTTCCCACAGCTTAAAGGCCGCTGTGGTGTCACACATCTGCCTAGCCGGTGGTATTTGGGGGGCAGGAGTGGCTTGGTGGTAGTGATTTGCTTCTGATTTGCTGCTTCTGAATAGAGCTACTCCCTGACTGTGAGGTAGGGCCTAGCAGGGCTCCTCATCATTGATGGTCATTGAATGAGGACTGTGGGCATCTTAAGAAACAGGCCTCTTTCTTGGAAAGAGGAGAATTGGAACCACTGTTCCCCTGCTGTGCCCTTGGTATTTTTTTTTTTTTAATATAAACTCAGCTGTTTGTGGTGGAATAGCTCTTTTGGAGGTGGTTTTCAAACTCAGGCCACCTCTTCCTTGAGTAGCTTGGACAGTGGTTACCGAAGAAACCATATGGTCCAGGGAAGTTATTTCTAAACGAAACCAATAAACCGTTTTACCTCCAGTTTACATGTAGACACTTGTCTGCATGCCTCTCTGGTCCCATCACCTGAACGTGCCATTTCTCAGCAGCTCTTCACACTATTTCAGTGATGTCAGCACATCTGATTAGGAGGGAGGAAGAATGTTGAACGTGGAATTGGAACCCATTAGGGGTGTAGGGGACTTTGTGGGCCTGAACATCGTAAAAATCCCGAGATCAGTGTCCACTTTGAGGCTGTAGGTCCTTAGTGGCCGCAGATGGACTCAACCTAGAAGAGTCTCGTGTCCTCAAGAGTCTCATATCCTGAGAGGCTTAACTTCCAGCTGACTCAGGTGTTTGGCCTCTTGCAACCCAGACTTTTCCAGTGGATTGCACAGCAGGTACTGACCCAACCTACTTCTGGATCAGGGTTGCCACTTCCAAAGGGGGTCTGTTCCCCAGTTCATGGAATGATAGTCCCTAAAAAAAGGGGGGGGGCGGGGCAAAAGCAAAATGTAACATCAGAAAGGAAAATGGGAGCGTTGAAGTCTGTAGAGGTGAGAGATGTAGGTAGACAGTGGGTGTCCTGTGAGTGGGAGTGAGGCAGCCCCCTAAGCAAGATCATGTCAGGAAGGTCACTGGCCGCCCTGCAATGGTGGAGAAGGCCCCCCTCCAAGCCAACAGGGTGTTTCCTGGTGAGGCCCTGCCGAGAAGCCGGGTTGCTCTCCCCTCATCTTTGTTCTGAGGTTCCTGGCGAAAGTTTGGTTGTGGGCCAGCGAAGGGCTGCTCTCACACCACCCTGGGCCACGGGAGGGTGGTCCCTGGCCTCTGCCCCCTGCGCATGGTGTGTGTATCTAGGGTAGGAGCAGCAAGACTATGGAAGGTTGTGGGGGGAGAGAAGAATTTTGCAACCCTGCCCAGCTGGCCTCAGGCATTTAATCTGACTGGCTAGGGCTCATTTCTTCAGGGACTTGTGGGGTAGGTTCTCTGGAGCAGTGGTTGCCAAGGGGCAGAGCACTGAGGACCTACCTGGCTCACCTCTTTCTAGTCCGGAGCATCTCTTATTTGCCTCACGTATGTTTGGGAAATTGATTGTGTTATTTTAGACCTTCCTTACTCTTCACCGGCTAATCAGTCAGCAAATATTTGTTGAATGACCTCTGTGTACAAAGCATAGTTTGCATGGCATTTGCGGGAAATGAACTACCCACGGCAGGAGAACTGGCACCAGGAAGAAGCGGTGTTTGAAAAGGGCCAACAGCTGCGCAGTCATTTCTTTTTCCTTTTCTTTTTTTAAAGATTTTTAAAATTCTTATCTGAGGACATGGTTTCCTTTTATGTTATTTATTTATTTTTATAAGTATTTAACTTTTAATGTAGGTAACATTTTCACAACAAATTGAACTAACATGACATTGGATACTTGTCAATAACCTTTTGAACAATAAGGAAAAATTAATTACTATCAAAATAATGTGTAAAATTCAAGTGATTTAAATGCCACAACCTAAAAAAAATTTTTTACTTTAGAATCAGATATTCTAATTGTTTTAAACAAACAGTATATTGGACTATTTAATGAAATAAGAAGATAATTTTTCTCTCTCTCTCTTTTTTTTTCTGAGTTAGGGTGGGCTCTAGACCGAGTGCTGGTATCTTTTTTTCTCTCTTTCTTTCTTTGTTGATTAAGGTATTACATATGTGTCCTTATCCCCCCATTTCCCCACCCCTACCCTCCACTCATGCCCTCACCCCCCTGTTGTCTGTATCCATTATGGTTTGTGTTTGTTTCTTTTTTATTGAGAGAGAGGGAAGGAGAGAGAGAGGGAGAAACATCGATTGGTTGCTTCCTGTACATACCCTGAGTGGAGATCAAACCTGTAACCCGGGTATGTGTCCTGACTGGGAATCGAACCTGCCACCCGTCAGTGCACGGGACGATGCTCCAACCAACTGAGCCACACCGGCCAGGGCACTGAGTCATTTCTTGTTGCAGGAATTCAGGGAAGGGGAAAGTCACAGGAGGCCTTCATTCAAGCAGTTAGGAATTACACCCTCCCCTAATGCCAGGCACTTTGCTAAGGGCCTCTCCTGGCCACTGTTCTGTATCATCTTTATGAGATCTGAGCAATAGATGCTGTCTTCTATCATAGATGCTAGAGGAGGTCCTTGAGCCCAGCCCTTTCTGACTTTGCAGAGCCTGGGCCGGTGGAGAGGTGGGGGGAGGAGGAAGGAAGTGCCAGGTGGGACCCGGCCTGTGCAGGTTGTGGAGATGAGACACGGATGTCTGAGTGGTGGTGAGCAGTGTTGGTTTGCCTCCCTTTCTCTTCCAGGGCACAGACCAGCCCTCCTCCACGTACCCCTGCGATGCCTAGCGCAGAGCCTGGCCCGGGGCCGGGGCCCACTGAACACTCATGCAGGCCAGTGGCATGAGCCTCACAGGACTCATGTGAATGTGAGTGACCGGGCCTTCGGCTGGCTCTGTGGTTCCTCCTGACTCAGGCCTGGGGTGTCAGCCAGGTGTGAGGGGCAGGGAAGGTATTTTGTTCATCTCGTGACCTCACTGCCCATAAGCCTGCCACGGGGAGGAAGGGACGAGGTGGTGACCTCATAGGACTGGCTGACTCCCTGTGTCAGGACAGTTCCTAGACACTTCGGTGGGGCTCTGGTTCTGACCACTGGACCTGGCTGGCTCTTGGTGGTCTGGCCTCTGCCTCAGTAGAGACCCAGGCTTGCTTACCACCCACAGGCCTCACGGCCATTTTTCTCGCCTTGTGTTTGCCATGGAGCATCTACACGGTCGACTCTGGGTCCAGTGCCCCTTCCTGGACTTGTGAGCGGGGCAGGGCATTGCTTGGGACCTCAGAAGTAGCCCATCATCCCCTTACCACAGAGTGTCCCTTCAGCCACCACCCCAAGTCCGGGTCACAGCTGTCTGGGTCACGCCTGCCTCCCCACGCATCCCCGCTGCACTGGCTCATTTACTATCTTGCTCGTGGAGAACTTGCTTTGCCAGGCCAGTAATCGCACTGGGAGGTTTTTTCCTCCCCAGGAGCAGGGCTGGACTGCTGCTGCTGATCTTGTGGTGTTAGGCCTGCAGGTGATGGTATTTAAGTCACCTGCCACTTTAAAAAGCCTCTCTCACCGGTTCCGTTCCGGTGACAGCGGTGCCCTTTGCTTTACGTGGCGCACCCAGACGAGGCCCTCTCCACTCCTGCGCTGTTACTAGAGTGATGCATAGTCAGGCCACGGTGATTCTGCAGACCAGATCTTTATGTCATTATGGCTCATTAAGGTATTGACATTGATATTCCTGAGAAACATTCCCCAGCCAGGACTCTCCCAGCACCTGACCGACCCCAGCCTCCCCCTCTCCCTCCCCCTGGGTCTGGGGCAGGTAAGAAGAGGCCCTGGTTCCATTTCTTGGAGGTGCAGGGAATCAGGCTTAAAGAGAAGGAGGCAAAGACCGCCCAGGAGCAAGGGGCTGGGAACTCCCAGGCATCCCCTGTCCTTACCACCAGCCCCACCTGCCCTGAGCCTCCTGGTAGGGAAGCCAACAGAGCAGCTCTCTGTTCGGTCCTGGGCCCTCGAGACCAGCAGAGGGGCTCACTTTCTGGGTTCACATCCCAGATTCACCGTTGATTGGTTGTGTGCCTCGGACATGGCATTCTAATCTCTGTTTCGCAGTCCAGGAAAGCAGGCCTCGAGATAAGCACCTTACTTTTCTCAAAGGGTAGTTAGGACCATTAAACTCGATCAATAAGGCCCATGGTAAACCCTCAGGCACGTAATATCACTCTCATCCAAGTAAGAGCTGAGTCTGTGATATTGACCGTGTGAGCTACAGAGACTGCTGTGGAACCGGAAGACAGAGCTGGTTCTACTCTTCCCTCTCTCCGGAAGGGAATGAGCAAACTGAAAAAACAGAGGTGGTGTCCTGACCCCGGTGAGGCGAGCCTGGGAGCCCCCGGGCGGCTGGCGGCCTCTCAGTCCCTGTCCTTGCTGGTAAAGCGGGGCCATGACAGCACCTCAAGTGGCGGGGGTGGAGTGGACCACCTGGGTGTCCCCTGGGTGCTCACTGAACGCTACCTTTCTCTTCTCTTCTCTCCCCTCCCCATCCCTTCAGAGTCTTTGTGCCCCAGGGGGCAGCGGGTACTGACTCCGGCCCGAGGGATGGTGACTTGCATTCTTTTTTTTAAAATATATTTTATTGATTTTTTTTTTATTGCTTAAAGTATTACAAAGGGTATTACATATGTGTCCTTTTTTCCCCCCGCCCTTGACAATCCCCTGGCCTCCCCTACCCCCCAGTGTCTTATGTCCATTGGTTATGCTTATATGCATGCATACAAGTCCTTCGGTTGATCTCTTTCTTAGAGAGGAGCAGGGCAGTCGAGGCCTGTGGTCCTCGGTCACCCTGCCCGGCCCTCCCCGGTGGAAGGATGCGAAATTGCCTCTCAGCTCTGCCCTTAGGTTTAGTTGACTTGCTGACTCTCTTGAAAACAGCCAGGCCTCTTCTGTGGGTCTCCCCGTACCAGGCGAACAGAGCCTTAGATGCAGAACAGAAGGAGCCAGGCCTCTTGTATGCCAGGTGGCCATGGGGGTGACCACCCTCCCGGGGCCTCATTTGGGCAGGAAGGAGCTATAGAATGCAAGCCTGGGTGCTCTTCCCTGTGATCCAGGGCAAAACCCTGTGCCTGGGCCGCTCTTCCTCCTGCATTTGCAGGTGACTGGTGTTAACCTCACCCCCTCCCTGGACCTGGGGATACACTGAGGCTGAGAGCAGATGCTCCTGCACAGGGCAGCTGGGAGCCGTTCCTGGCCTAGGGCGACTGAATAACCAGTCAGCCGTCCCTAAGCACCTACTGTGTGCTAGGCAGTGAGGATGCAAAAATGAAAAGACATTTGGGGATGGACAGGCTTGTAAGCATGTGGTAGAAACACAAGAAACACAAGCAGAGCCTTGGGCCTGTAGGGCAGCTCTTCCTGGGGGGCCGAGTGCTCCCGACAAATGGAAGAAAAGCTCAGCCTTTGGGGGAAGTGGAGAGAGGGGGCTGGGTGGGCAGGGGACACGTGGAGAATGGCCGTGGGGCTGTAGATTTCCTTCTAAAGGCAATGGGAGAATTCCACCGGAGAATCCTGAGTAGAGAGTGGCACAACCACACGGGCAGGTAGAAAGGCTCGCTTGGTGGCTGGTGGGCTGGTGAGAGCAGTTTCTGGAGAGGGGCTGCCCTGAGAAACGCACTAGCCAGGGAGGGTGGGTTAGTGGTGAGGCGAGTAAAGAACGTAGGATGGGGAGGAGATGAGGAGAGACTTGGGAGGGAGGGTGGACGGGATTCGGAGTCCAGCTGGGAGTCCCGGATCTGTGTGGCCGACTGCCCGACTCTGCCCCTTCCAGTGGTGCCAACGCCCGGGGGGCAGGGTGTCCGGGAGGCCGGAGAGATGCTGCCCTGAGCACGGCCAGTTTGTGCAGGCTGCTCGGCAAGTGATTTAAAGCCAAAGGGTGCACACCAGCCTGCAGACATTTGGATAAACGCAAACTGCCGCCCTCATGTGCCAGGGGAGCCGAGAGAGCTCCCCAAAAGAGCAGTGGGGGTTGGGGAAGTGGCATGGCCAGACGTGGCCCACCTGTCTCCGCTAAACACTAAGCACGGTCCCTCTTTCCCCTCCACCCCCACTCACTGCCTCCCGCCAGGATTCCAGAAGCTTCAGTGCCAAGAGTGGATTGCCAGGCAAGAAAGGAAGAGGGGGGAGGAGGGACCGGGAGGGAGAGGGTGTTGTTGCAGGCCTGCCTCCAGGTCCCGGGCCCCTCCCTCCTGTCCCCGCAAGAAGGACCAGCTTAGTTGCTACCAGTCTTTCCCTTTGAGGGATGGGTCAGGGTTGTCAGGGAGGAGTCCTGCCTCTTTTCTGCGTCTGGTCTGTCTCGTGGAAAGTGAGGCTAACGCTCCTCCCTTAGGCATAACATGTTCCTGGGAGCGCTGATGCCTTCTGAAATAGCTTTTTCAGACATCGTAAGGGACGGGTTCGGGGTGAGGTAAGAAATCCTGGCAAAGCCATGATTCTCAGGCGTGTTATTCAGACATTAGGAATTTGCACTTAATGGGTACTAGGCGACCCCTCCACCCCCCACCCCACCTTGTACTCCAGGAGGGGTAGGGCCCTGTGGGGAGCACATGTGGCACCAGGCAGCTTCCTCCTTCGTGCATCTGCCCAGAGAGCTGGGGCTCTAGGTGCTGTGGGAGTCAGCCCCGAAAGCACACCCAGGACCCCTGCGCCTCTTCTCCAGCCATCTGTCTCCCTCGGAGGGTCCCAACCCCCTGCTTCTCGTGTTGCTCGCTCGGTTCCGTCAGCTGGACTGGCTGTCGAGGTTCCACTCAGTTTCCACCTCTCCTGCCAGGCCCCTGCTTAGTCCCCGGGCAGGGCCTCCTGTGCCCAAACTCCTTTAGGGATCTAACAGACGGCACGGCATGGCGCCAGCCCGTCGCCACCTCGTCCTTCCTGTGGCTTCACATGGATCTCGCCTTCCAGCGGAGCAGCCTCGTAGTAACGGGGAACTTCGGTGGGTGTTTAAGGGGCACCGTGACCTTGATCGGAGCTCTGGAGGCCTGCCTGGTAGATGAGTTTGTTTTCTGTTTCCCAGATCCTGGGCTGTGGCCCAGGACGGTGCCATCATTCTCTCTGCCAGTAAGTTACGAGGACTTGCAGCCTGGGGCCTGAGGCTGGGCAGCTGTTAATCTCCTTCCGGACTCTGACCTCAGGGCTCTTTCCCTGTGGTTCCTAGATTCCCTGTGCCTCCCCCTCCTCCCCGGACTTCCTGCCTCCCTCTCTGGCTGGGGAGTCGGTCCCCAGCACCTTGCGTCCCACCCACCCACCCACCCCACCCCCGAGCTGGGCTGAGTGCCAGTTCCTCTGGTCAAAAACGTCTCCGAGGGTCTCCTGGGAAATTTCAAACTTCCTGAGGCGTGTTCTCCGCCCTTCTGGAACTGGTCCTCGTAGAGGGCTTTTCCCTGCTAAGCCATCTCCCTTCAGCCCCCTCCCCCAGTTCGGGGGAGCACAGATGCCATCACAAGACAGCATTGCTTGTGCTGCTTAACTGTGTATCAGAGGGTCTTTTCTGAGGAAGGGGGGCTTTGGGGGTTGGTGGGGGTGGGTGTTGCACGGGGGAGGTGAGCAGGCAGAGGTGCCAGCCCCTCTTCCTTCTCTGGCTGTTTCTGTCCTTGCAGACTGGAGGCCGGCGCTGAACCTTGCTGCCCTGGACTGTGCTGACGAGACCAACAGCGCAGTCTGCAGAGACTTCAACATCGCCGGCTTCCCGACCGTGAGGGTGAGTGACAGGGAGCAGGGAGCAGGCCTGGGGGCCGGGTAGGGGCGTGGGGTGGGCGAGTGGCTGCCAGCTCTGAGCTTCTCTGGTGCTCCTGGTCTGTTTAAATCCCAGCCGCTGAGACACCGTAAAAGGCAAAAAGGGATGTGAGTTAGGAGGCAGGAAAGAAAGAAGTTCACACAGTCTGGCAAGTCCCCTTTATAAGGGAAGGGGGCTGTGTGGGGGGCGTGGGGGTGGGCAGATTTCGGCTGTGAAGACATTACCACCCGGGCTGGTGAGAGCTCCCAGCCCCCAGGGGTCTCCTCCCAGTTCCTCTCCCTCCTGACCGCCTAGCTTTGGAGGTCTGATCTAACCCTAGAAAACCAGGGTTCAGGCACTGACTCGTCTGTGGCAGGATCAGACTCAGGTGGCCCAATGGTCCCCCAGAGACATGGGCAAGCCTCATCTTCATCAGACAAGTGCCTTGAACCCCAGTAGCTCGGAAGTGACTTGTCAGGGCAGCCTCACCCCACGGTCACAATGCCAGAATGCCTTAGGTGGCAGGGATCTCCACCACGTCACAGGAGGCTGGTGGCACACCCAGCACACGGGGGCCCAGCACCGTCACCACAGCTCTGGCTCAGAGTAGCCAAGGCCTTGCCCACCAGCCAGCCACTAACGTCTGAACACCGTCCAGGGCTCTCATCGGGAGGCCTGAGAGCCCAGAGCAGCAAGGCTGTCAGATCTACCTAGCACCCTCCCCAGGGCGCAGGCTGAGGCTGGAACCGAACCTCTGTCTCTCTAGCTCCAGTTCTAAATAGTCAGCCTCCTCCCACCGCAACGGCATCTAGAAAAGCAGATTCCTCTAAAGCCACTAACAATCATCACAAAAGGACTCTGACCCCGGAACCAGCTATCTCTGCGCTCGGGCTTCGAGTTCCCAGCAGAACCGGGAGCCACAGCTCAGCCTAATTACTCTGTTCATCTGGGAAGCCAGGCCCAGGCTCCAGCCATGTCCGGCTCGGACTCCATGCGACCTTTCTGTTCCCCGGGGTTCAGGGTTTCCACGGCCATGGAGCTCCCTTCGCGCTGCTGTGACCACTTAGGGTCAAGGCCGAGCCCCTGGTCACTGAGGCCAGGCTGGTCCGGGGAACAGCGTGGTGAGCCAGCAGCTCCGGCCCTGTCATTTAGAGGTGGCAGCAGAGAGATTGTTCGTAAATCATCCCTTTCCAGTTAAAAGACCTCCCTGGCAGGGCCATGCCCTCTCCTTGGCCCCAAGATATGTAACTGAAAATAGTGAAGATTGTTCCCAGGGAGAGGACGGGCCACTCTGTTCCCTGCTGAGCCAGGGTGCGCAGCCCTGTGGGAGCCGTGGGAGCCAGCGAGGCAGCAGGGAGTCTCCCGGGATGGGGTGTGGGGCCTCGGCACAGGGAAAGGGCCTGGCCTTGGCACCGTGGCCAAGTCAAGACACCCTGTGGGGGTTCTGTGGGGCCTGGCTCGTGGGCTTTCTGTTTCTGCCTGGGAGAGGCTGGGCCCAGTGGGTGTGAAGGAGGCGGCCAGGCAGCCAGGACGTCTAACAGCTCCTCGCTGCCTACCCAGGTCACGCAGCACACGCAGCCCGAATGCCTCGAGTGATTAATCATCTCCTTAACCGCCCAGCTGGCTGTGCCAGCCAAGGCCCTGACCTTCCCCTGCCTCCACGCGGGCAGCACCTGGGTGGCCAGGCCGGTAGTCACCTGCCCATTTCTTAAGAGCCCCGGAGGCAGTGGTGTGACCTCCCTGCCTCTCCCGAGGAGCCCGCAGGTCAGTTTCGGCAAGGAGAGCGCTCAGTGCCCCGAGCTTGGGGCTCTAGTTCAGGGCGCCCGTGGGTCGAGCTCCCGGCGGGTCTCTGCTCTAAGACCCTGAGCAGAGGCGTCCAGACTTTGTTCGTGTGACCTGCATGAGGGGTGCACATTAACAGAGACCCAGAGGTGGTTTCTGTTATCACAGAAACACATGTTTCATGAAACACTATTCTAAGTGCTGTACACACTGATCCTTTCTGTTCTGTATGTTTTTATTTGTTATTGATTTCAAAGAGGAAAGGAGAGGCAGAGAGAGAAGCATCAGTGATGAGAGAGACTCATCAATTGGCTGCTTTCTGTATGCCCCCCATTGGGGATGGAGCCTGCAACTTGGTCATGTGCCCTGCCCGGGAGTCGAACTGTGGTTCATGGTCGACACTCAACCACTGAGCCACACTGGCTGGGCTCTTCTGCTTATTTTTTAAAAATACTGTGACTCACTAAATTGACTTTACAACTGACGGCTAGTTTGCTTTCAGTGTTTGAAAAACACTACTCCAACGATTCTGGCCAGTGAGAGTCCGGTGTGCCTGTGGGCAGCGTGTCTTTGTGCCCTAGAAAGAGGGGCAGACCCTAGCGGTCGGCCCCCTAGCAGTCGGCCCGGCTGGCGAACGGCCAGAGATAGCCTGGTGGCCCTGTCTGCTGTCCTCAGTCCTACCCTCCAAGGCTGTGAGGGCACCAAGAGAAGGACACGGGTTGAAGAGGGGAAGAGCGAGTTCCTGATGGGACGGGGACAGGCCCACCCAAGAGTCCGGCCACCCCCAGTGACAGGTCATTGTCCCATGTGTCATTGTCTCTTTCCTCTGCCTCCTGCCCTCTGTCACCATGAGCAAACTGAGCTTCCACCAGCCCAGCCTGTTTAGCAAACACCTGGCGCTGCCGGGCGGGCCCCGCAGACGGGAGCTGGAGCCCAGCTGGAAGAAAACAAAAGTGCGGGGAGGGACTGGTTCCCAGCAGGTTCTGGGTGGTGCTTGGCACCTGGACGGAGGCTGGAACTTCTGGGGGGAAAGGGCTTTGCCATGGGCTGCAGGGCTGCCCCTCAGTACGTAATGGACCAGGACCCTTTGTGGCCAAAGGCCTGGTGGGATCAGGATGACAGGGACCAGCAGCACGGGGGTGGGAGAGGACAGAAATCTCCCCTTTGCAAGATTCGAGGAGATAACCGACATGGCTTTGTGCTTACCGTGTGTGACGGGAGTGCCCCAGCCACAGGTCTCGGTTTCCCTGTCGGTAAAAGTGGGATGACAATACCTACCTAATAGGTTGTTGCCAAGTGTGAAATGAGGTCTTCCGTGTGAAGGTGCTGGGACACTGTAGTGTTACTTGGTGTTCACTAAACGCTGGCTGTCTTCCGTCCCGTTGCCCCTGGGCCTCGTGGTGGCTCCTCGGTGGGCACTGCACTGGAGGCGGTCTGCCCATCAGCAGCTGTTGCGTGAGTGTTTGCCGGGTGCACAGCACTGTGCTCACCATTGTGGGAGAGGCCAGGCATGTGGACATGGCCAGGAACCCGAGAGGCCGGACACGAAGGTCCTGCCCACAGGGACACAGAGCTCACCATCGAGTTGCCAGGCAGTGGGTGGTCTGTGGGCAGCGAATGCTGGGGCTGTGCTGGCTCACTGAGCTCTTCCCCTCGGGTATCAGAGAGGGTTTTCTGCGAGAGGGGAGCTCTGCTTGGTGCGGAAGGACGGGTGGGGTCGGGCTAGGAGAGAGGAGTGTGGGCAGGGTGGGAGGGGGGGGCCAAGGCCCGTGTGGGAAGGATGTGGTGTGCTGAGAAGACTGGTCTGGCCGGAGCGGAGGCTCCCGTGCAGGGCTGAGGTCATGCCAGGAAGCGGGGAGCCCAGTCGTGGCGCGTCCTTGCATTCAAGGCTGGGAGTGTGGACACTGGTCGGATGGAGTCTGGGCCGTTACCTTATGTGGCTCTTGCTAGAGGGTGTGATGTCGGCGGGGACAGGACTCAGAAAGGTGTCACCTGCCCCTCTCGGGAAAAAGGAGAGGGGCCCTCACTCAGTCACCTGCCCTTCCGCCATCTCCTCCACTAACTGTCCACAACGGAGGAATGGTTATGCTTGCAGAGCCTCTGGGCTCGCCTTAAGGTATTTGGGGACTCAGTTATATTTCTTAAAACGTGTTCTAAAAGCTTGGATTCCACGCCGTTGATGGTCACCCCTAGAAAGTGTGCTTTCTCCCAGCCCTGTTTTGTCCTCAGAAGGCAGTTGCTCCTGGTTAGGTTGGTAAAGGTCTGCCCGATGCCAGCTGGTCTCCAGGGCCAGCAGGTCTCCTGCCTTCGGGGAGATGCGGGGGTCTTCCAGGGGCTCCGAGGTTGAGGAGGACAGAAGGAGAGGGGCCGGGTGCTCCTGGAGAAAAGAAAACTCGCCGCTGGAGCCCTAATTGCCTGTTTCCCAGCGTGCGGTGGTTTCCCTTGGGCAGGGCACACGCCTCCCACAGCTGATTTAATAAGAGGGCAAAAATGTGCCCCGACTAGATTTTACTGAGACTTTTACATGAGCCTCCAAGGTGATCAAAGGGCAGAGCTTCTCAGTTTAACTGAACAGATGTCTTCGAGTAACTTCCATGTCCCGGACACTGTGCCCGCCCAATGGGGCTGGCAGAGATGAACTAGCCATTGGCAGTCCTGCCCCCCAGCCCCAGTCAGGGAGGTGGGCAGGCGGGTGGGTGGGAAGTTCAGGTTGAAGTCCATTGAAGCTGAAGTGTAGGGAATGGGGGGCAGTGGGAGCTAAGTCTGGGGTCAGGCCCTGGAAGGTCTCGGATGTGGTGAGCTGGGCATCATTCATTGGCAGTGAGGAGTCCGGGGAGAGATTGGAGGGGTGACGCGCCAGACCAGAATTATGCCCGAGGGGAGTTAGCGAAGTGGCAGAGGAAGATGGTTGGGGAATGAAAAGACTGAGCATGTTAAAACTTCAAAGGAAGTGAGGCCCGGGGCGGACTGTCACAGCAGGCCAGGAGCTCGGGGCCGGCCCTGGTCCGGACAAGGCGGCTGGCCTAGAGGACTGTTGAGGAGGGTTCACGAAGGTCAGGTCCTCAGAACTTGTCAGCTGACTGGATGAGGGGCTGTGGGGGAGGGCAGTGCTGGGCTGGGCGAGGTAGGAACAGAGGTGGAGAAACAGGTTGGGGGAGGGGTGACTCAGTCTTAGAAAGGGGGGTGTTGCCCGACCCCTGTGAGGGGGGTGTTGCCCGACCCCTGTGTGGAGGGCACCAGGCAGAAGCAGAAGTCTAGGACCTCGAGGACCTGAGACAGAGGGGTCAGACGTTGGCGAGGGGGACACTCGGGTTGGTTTGTTCCTTCACTCATGGGTTCGTTCACTCATTCATTCAGGAGCGCAGGTGGAGCCCCTCGTTTGTGAGGATGCCTCCCTGGGTTTGTAAACAGAAGAGCGTCTTAATCTGACCTGTGGCTGTGGGAGAGACGGTGGGCAGGGCATGGTGAGGGTTGTGGCCCCGGAGCGAAGTCAAGGGCGAGACTGGGACAAGGGCGAGGGGAAGGTCGTGAAGGTGGCCAAGAAGGCCTGGTCCATGTCAGGCAAACGAGGGAGGGTGGTGACCTGAAGGCAAAGGAGGAGAGTGTCAGGAAAAGGTGGCACAAAAATGGCAAACCCTGGCCATGGAGGGCAGGGGGGAGGTAGGCAGTGATGGCTCTGACACTGCAGCGGGAGCAGGAAGGCCGCTGGACTGGCCAGAGGCGGTCCGGTCCGCTGAGCGCACCACGGGCTGGTCCTGGGCACGAAGGGAGAAGGGAAGTGGGAGGAGCGAAGCGGATTCGGATTCGGGCTGGAGCTTTTGGCTGCAGGGGACCAGGCAGTGCGGAACTGGGGGAGGGAACTGGGGGAGGAAGGCGGGCCGCTCTCTGTTCCCATGCTCCTTCCCCTCTGGTCCTTTCTCTTTAAAAAAGCCCACAACAGCTTTGATTAGGAGGATCTGCATGCATCTGTTAGGCATAGCGGAGAAGCTGGCGGAAAAGGGGGAAAGAGGGAAGATTAATTGACAGGAAAAGTTCCTAAGGAGCTCAAGGTGACATTGTTCTAGGACTAGGTGGATGGGAGCTTCTGAGGACAGGAGGGAAGGCGGGGGGGGGGGGGTGCGGAGCACAGAGGTGCCAGGAAGGACGTGAGCCCTTCCCTGGAGTCCCTGCGTCTCCCTGGGTCACTCTCGCTAACCCCGACTTGTGACTCACTCCACGCCCGTCTGTGGCTGGGCCTTCAGAAGGTCCGGGAGGCTGCCTTTTGATGGAGGGAATGCCCGCCTCTTCTTGTAAGCACCTGGTAGCCTGCCGGTGGTGAGGAAGTTACTGTGCTACTTTGCTGCCACCGAAAATGCCAGCTGTAGCCCTGGGAAAGCCAGCGGTGTCAGGCTTCTCGGTGTCAGGAGTGTCTTCTGCCTGTGCAGCAAGCCGGGGCCTGGTCTGTCTGTACAGAAAGGGGTGCCGTCGCCATGGAAACCACAGCTGTAAGGATCAGCCTCGGGGTTCCTGTGTGTGAGCACCGGGACCACAGAGAGGTGCGTTTTGTGAGAGACCACGTCAGCCCTAAATGCCTGCACACGCTTTCCTATTTGCTCTCGTGTCACAGTCCAAGACACTTGCGATCATTTTTACCAGGGTCAGGCTAGCATGCGATTTTGTTAATTCCAAACGTGTTCAGTCGCTGCAAAGAACTCCATGAGGAACACGGAGCTGTGCGTGGCAGGTGGCAGTGGGTGGTTCTCACCCAGAGTGAAAGTTTCCATTCATGTTCTCACCTGGTGTTTAAGAGGCAGGAACAAGGGGAGGGATGATGATGATGACATTTCGTGGCCCCTTTACTGTATTTCCCGGGCACCGTACTGAGCTCTTTAGAGGTATTATCACTGACTCCTCACAGCAGTTCTTCACGGTACATGGTGTCATCCTCGCTGTAAAGATGTCGGTTCCTAGAGGTTAATGACTGCCTACACAGCCAGGGTGCCGCAGGGGCCCGCGCTCCGTCACCAGCCTGGGGCAAGGCCAGCTGGCCACTCTGTTGGAGGCAGAGGCCAAAGGTGTTCACAAGTGGCCCCGAGGTTAGAGACCTCAGGAGACGTCCTCTTCCCGGCCCGTGGGCTCTTTCCCAGCAGTTCCGTGGCTGTTGGCAGGACTACTGAACTCTGGCCGCTCTCTTACTCCCGTCTGTCTGTCTGTCCTCTCACCCAGGAGTGACAGACTGGGCCTGGAGTGTCATGTAAATGGGAAAAGGGCAAAGGGGTGAGTCCAATTGGTCTGTCTGTTACAAGACTTGTTTGTTCAGAGGCTCTGGCCCACCCTTCAGCAGGACCGAACGTGGGGCGTCGGCTGAGCCAGGGCGGGAGTTGTGTGGACAGAGACAGCAGCCTCCACCCCCTTTTCCAAGATCAGGGACAGGGCAGATGGCCTCCGAGGGCGGCTGACAATTCCAGGGCGTGTCTGACCTCACTTCACTTCATGTTGTCAGATGGGTCTGCAAGGGACAGTAGCAGTGGTCTTCCTATTCCTTCATGCAGCACAGCTTCCCGGCCGTTCGTGCCGGCTCTGGGGCTTGGTGAGCCCGGCCACCTGCCGTCCAGCGTGTGGGCGGCTGCCTCCAGCCTCCCTCGGTGCCTCCGGCTGTGGGTTAGGGGTTGGGTGCGAGGACAGTGGGGGAGGAAGTCTGTGTCCAGCTCCGTCGGCTTTTCCCCGTGAAGAAACGGGCGCTCACCAACTTAGGTGCTGTGCCCAGAGCCGCCAGTTTCGTGAGCAGCTGGGTCTGAATGCAGCTCCAGGAGGCACCCCGTTTGCCCTCAGCCGCACCTGCCACTCACTGACTCTACCTGTGTGTTTGTTTCCAGTTCTTCAAGGCCTTTTCCAAGAGTGGCCCGGGAGCGACCTTGGCAGGTGGGTGTCCGGGCCGCCGTTGGCCTGTGGGCGTTGGTGACGTCTTCCTCTCCTGCCTCCCTCTGTCCCGGGGTTTCCGCTGGGACAGAAGCGCAGCCAGGTCTGCAGAGTGAGGAGTTCCCCGGCGGAAAGCAGCATATGTGTTTTCCACCTGCCCTTCCAGCCCGGCTGGAAGGTGCCTTTGAGCAGAGGCTGGCAAGCCCTTCCATATTGGTCCGTCCAGGGTCCTGGGAGCGGGGAGGGTCCCGTGTTCCCAGACTCACCCTAAATGTCAGGGGTTGGCATCAGGAGTGCGGGCCTGACAGGAGGGACTCGGGTCTGAGGGAGGAGTCCCCTTGCGTAGCGCAGGGCTGTGAGTGCAGAGCAGGCCTGACACGCTCTGCTCTTCCTGGGCCCTTTGTTTCTGGGGGTGAAGCTGACGGGGGCGCTGGATCCCCTCTGCTCTCCTCACGCCCCTCCCGTGTCCGTCTTCCTTCACAGTGGCTGGAGCTGACATGCAGACGCTGCGGGAGAGGCTCATTGACGCCCTGGAGACCCATGGAGCCACGTGGCCCCCTGCCTGTCCTCCACTGGAGCCAACCGGGTACTGGGAACGGGCGGGCTCGGTGCCGTGTGGGCCAGGACCACAGGCCTAGAGGCGAGAGGGTGGTGGGGATCGCAGGGCGGGGACCCAGGTTGGTTCTTCCTGGTGCCTGGAAAGTGAAGGTGATTGTTTTTTCTGAGCAGTGGCTGTGACTGGGGTGGGATGAGACTCTGCTCCCTGTACTGCCGAGGGTCAGGCCTGGGGGCTGGGGGCCTGTATCTGCGTTCCAGGCAGGCTTCCAGGATTGCCCCTTTTCTAAGAAAATGAGGTGCTGAAAATGCACCACGAGGGATGTGAGAAAATGAGAGACAGAGACACGGTCATTGAGAAATGGAAGAAGTAAGGAGCAGGGTCCCGGCTTGGCATGGGTGCCTCCTGGGACCCAAACCACACCAAGACTACACGCTGGGTCCAGGGTCTTCGCAAGGCCCCCCAGAGGAGGGGGACTTAGGGAAAATGAGGAGTTATGTGCGTTGGGTTTGTAGGTGCAGTTGTCAACCTACATGTCTTCCTCTCTGTGGCCAGTTAGGGCAACACCCCTTGTAACACGGGGACCAGTGCTGGAGCCCTGCCCAGCGACAGCACAAACGGATGTGCTCGAGAGGCGGGGGCCAGAGCCGCACCTTTTTCCACCCGCTGACTGGGGTACACTCTGGCCCCCCCACTCTGGCATACCCGTTTGTGCTGTCGCTGGGCTGGGCGCCGGCGCTGGCCCCACGCTGTGCCTTCTGTTTTGAGGTGATCACCACCACATCACCAGTGGCGGGAGCTAGGTTGGGGGTAACAGGAAGATGTAGCCCCCCCCCCCCCCCCCG